GTATTTTAACCTTTTTTAAGCTGAAAAGAAGGCTACTTAGTGGATCATTCTGATCAGAATCTTCTGCTTTGTCGGAGAACCGGAGGGCGATAATGGGTTGAGAAAACATCAAGCAGAACTCACTGTGATGGTGATGAATCCAGAACAAACCAGATTCGCAAGTGCATCGCTGACAGCTGGATGTTGTTGGAAGAACCTGAACAATGCTTGAACCTTGCAGAAAAAGTTTAAATAAAATCATTGTGAAAAATATGCGTGAGCGACTGAATGAGAGCTCTATGGGAAGAACGTTTCCCTCCTCCGATTTGGGAGATCCCACCAGCAGCTTGTAATGTGCTAGGATTTCTTCAATAAATTTTCAACAAAAAGAGCAAGAAGAGTTTCCTAGCAAAAAGCGTAAGGTCTCACTGAGACCGGTTGCGCAGATTTTTTTAATGGGAAATAATCCTAGTACCTGAAAAGTTGGTGTGTGGTGCCACCACAACCAAATATAGTCTAGGAGTTGCTTAGTAGGTGCAAAGTTTCCTAGCCTTGGTAAACACACCCATTGAAGGACGAGTTAATCAGGCCATAGGCCGACTTCCTGCTCGTCTGCACTCTCTCACCTAGAGGACGTTCGGCGGGTGTTTGATCAACTTGTCGATTAGACCTTTTTGGTTTTATGAGATTGAGGATGAATATTTTTGTCAAGATTTTCCTGCTTTTTTTTATAAAATTGTAAATCTCATCGGTCTTTACTCAACAGTGTTTCACTGATAGATCACAGAGGAAAGAAAGCAGTTGTTTACCTTCAACTATTCGGGAAATAAATTACTACGAGAACTTTCGTGGTTTTGAAGTTGCGGCGTTTTTTAAATTTTCTACGCCAGGGACACATTATTGCCTCTATTCTTAAACTCAACAATCATACATCATCTCATCGTGATTACTACCGTTAATAGAATTTGACTAATATGATTCATTGGAGGCACAAAAAAAGGTCCAAGAAAGATCTGTTTCTTTGAGAACTCCATTTCAAGTTCTGTAGGCGGCAGAAAAAGGGGTTTCGGTCTGAACATCACGATAACTTCTATAAAAGTTGCCCAAACTCCCGTGAAGTTCTTTGAGAGCAAAAAAAAAACGTTCCGATGATTTTTTATATGGGTAGGCATCTATGACTTCTGGGAAGGTTCTCGATGGTATTGTCGTATGGATAAGAAGCTCAGATAGCGTTTGATAAAGAATTGGCCTGTACACCAATTACCCCTCAAACTTCCAAGAAAGCAGGTATGCCACTGCTGCAACCAGTTGATTGAGGTCAATGGCTAACAAACGATGTTCTGCAGCGATTGAAATCTCGTCCAAACATCCTCTTCGTTTTCATGATCTTGGCCATCCTTCGAAACTACTTAAAAGAAAAACTCTAATGTGTTAGCTTTGTTTCTTGGGATTATAGAGCGGTACTGGGCCTAGAGACCGGTTTTTGATCCCCCTGAGAAGGTCCTATGGGGCGTTGTTGGGTCGAAAAGGGGCTAGGCCTCTTTTCGACCCAACAACGCCCCATAGACCTTCTCAGGAGGGTCAAAAACCTACGGTTCTTAGAAGCCATAGATTCCTGTCCATCCAGGAATTTCCGAAACTTAGTTTTTTCTACTTTCAAACAACCTTCAACAACAAATTTTGAGTAAGTTTTGTTGGAGTCATCGAGCCGAACCGAACCGATTCCCTTTTTACGCTGCCTACGAAACTTGAAATGGAAATATCAGTGGAACGGATCTTTTAGGGGCCTTTTTTTGCACCTCACATTAGCCAAGTTAGTCAAATTCTATCAAAGGTATGGAGCACGATGAGATATGTACGTCGGGTTCAAGAAAGGAGGCAATTCTATTGAATAATGTATCAGTAACGGAAAGAATCAATGATTCTGATGTTTCTATAGTTTTTTCCTTTTTTCCTCACCAAAAATAAATTCCGTATCAAAACCTTTAACCTTCATCCCGAGAAGTGTATGTGAAAGCAGGATTCGGGCCTCCAAGTTCCCAGGGTTGTAGTATGGTGTATAGGATGACGGGTTAGACCCCATCCGAGACATCTACATTACCTTTTAGCCACCACAGTAATAAAATGAAAGTCGACACATTATAAATATAAAGTGAAGAGTTTCGATAGTGTTAATTTACCTGTGATTCGGTCGAAGTCCATACAAATCATGATCCAGTCTCTGTTGTACCAAATGTTCCATGTAATCATTGACAATCGTCCATGGAGCAGTATTCATGAGCCAGCTATAGAATCTTAAAAACAAGGTGTTTATAGATTACCATTTTTAATTTTCTTCATCTATTCATTTAGCTATTTTATTTTTTT